TCTTGAAAGGGTTATTGTCAATGAAATTCTTGACTTCTGTCTAGCTAATCGGCTTCTGAGCTCTAGTCAGCATGGATTTTTACATGAACGTTTGTGCGAAACATGTCACTTGGCATTTCTTAATCTAATCACTTCTCTTCGTAATGAGCGGCAGTCAGTGGTGGTTATCTACTTTGATCTTAGCAAAGCCTTCGACAAGTGGCCCCATAGACGCCTTTTAGTAAAATATGAAGATCTCGGCATCCGGTCGCCTCTACTCGACTTCATCAGGTCCTATATGTCCAACCGATATCAGAAAGTCATGGTCGGTAATAGCTACTCGACACCCCACTCGATCACGAGTGGCGAACTTCAAGGCACGGTTCTGGGTCCGCTACTCTTCCTTCTGTACATCAATGATATTTCGACTGAACTCGGAAATTCGCAAACTTTTACTTATGCCGATGACCTCAATTTTGTTTACTCATACTCTAAGGATGCCGCAGATGTTTGTGTTGAAAAAATTAATGCCCATTTACTACGCTTAAGCAGATGCGGTTAAACATGGCAGATGGAGTTTTCATTCTCCAAGTGTAGTTTCATGTCTTTTGGTCCAGCCAAACTTCCTGGTCCCATAATTTTGCTGAATAACCCACTCTCAGAATGCCTCACCATAAAGGACCTAGGTCTAAGTTATATAAATAAGCGTGCTTTATCACCTCATGCAGATAGAATCTCTGCCGAAGCTGTGCAGATATGTGGAATCATATCGCATAATTTTTTCCTTCCAGAAATGAAGCGAAGAATTTATCAAATGTTTCTTCTTCCAGTCAGTTCAGTTCTGTTCAGTTTATTGAGGGAAATAGGCATAAGCCTTTGAGTACCCTATTTGCAACGTAAAAAATGTGTGGTGTACAGATAGATGTTCTGGGCTGGAATAGTTCAAACACGCCCATAATGGTGGGACAAAATGAGAAGGAGTTACAGGGAGTGAGCTCGACTTCTCATCGCTCTTGGTCATTTCGGAACATAAATATGTCCAGATTCTTCTTAAAACTTTGTATAGATGGTGACATCACAACATCTGCGGGAAGCTCATTCCATGGTTTGACCACCCGAACCGCGAAGGAGAACTTCCGCACATCCAACTTTGCATGCTGAGTGCGCAGTTTTAACGGGTGACCTCAAGGTTGGTCGTGGTAGCAAATTCAAAGAAGTCCTCGAAGGCCAGACTGCAAACCAACCCCTTAACAATGCGGAAGGCTTCCAAGAGATCCCCGCGAAGTTGCCTGTAACTCAAAGGAAAGAGGTTCAGATTTACTAGGCGAGTTGCATAAGGAAAGGAGCTTTGACCCCTAACCATCTTCGTGGCTCTCCTCTGGACCCTTTCGAGGCACTTTTGATCCTCAACAGCCCACGACCTCCAAGCTTGTATGCCGTACTCTAAATGCGGCCGAACGAATGTTCCGAATGTCTTTGAGAAAGCATCTTCGTCAAAGTCCATGAACGCACGCTTGATGGCGTACAGTACGTACATTGCGGTTTTTGCCACCCTCGAACAGTGGGCGGATGGTTTTAGGGAACTCGTCGTAAGCACACCGAGGTCCCTTTGGGCTTCGACCTCTTGTAGGGCTGCACCGCCCAGAAAGTAGCCTCTTGTGCTGGCGGATCTGGCTGTGTTGCCTAGGCGAAGTATGCTACATTTGGCAACGTTGAACCGCAGGAGCCAACGGTTTGGCCACTCCTCCAACGGATTCAGGTTCATCTGCAGTCTGTCCTTGAATACTGCTGTCCTTTCTTCGGTTTAATGAACGCCTGCGACCGTAATAAAATCGAAAATGTTCAGAGGGTTTTCACCCGGAATCTGTTCTCTCAAGCTTCGTCCAGTATTTCTTATACTCAGAGATGTCAGCTGGCGAACATGAAGATTTTGTGGGTTAGAAGACTCGAAGCTGGCCCTTGCTTCCTTTTTCGCATCAACTCTAGCTCCAGTCTTCCACTCATTGACACTCATACTCCGAGATATCGGTCTTATTCCACGCGCAACTCCTGCATGGTGATTCCGCCACCTCTTTTTACTACATCTGAGCGCTCTCTCTTCTTTGCTTTCAAATATGCCTTCCTTTGGAATAATCTTCCGCCTCATGCGGTCTATCGACGCTCACGGCGGAACCCTCAGTATTCGCCGTCTACTAGTAGTTCGGTCGTACCTCCCTTCCCCACTGCTCGGCTGAGCTCGAAGCGTGTTGTGGCCGATCGCATCTGGGTTCCTCCCGTCTGGCCTCTTTGACGCGGCGTATCAATCCGGCCCAGACGATCTCAATTGTGAATCCCGTATACAATCTCATATGCAAGCCAGTCCTCTCTGACCAACATTCGTACCCCTCAAGGCTGAGATTTATTGCTACCCTGACGATGACCGACAACATTCCGTTATATACCGCAAACTACAGGCCAGTTCTACTCGCTTTTTTCTGTCATTATTTTTATTGAGGGTTTTTTTCTCCTGTAAAATAAATCCAATCATTTTTAACTTTTTGTAAGGAGTTTTTTTTCACCCCTCAATCAATGGACTTCTAATTTAGAAACTAGGAATTGCATTTTGTAAAGATTCGGCCTACCTCGTCTAAAACTCGCATGTAAATTTATTTTAACTTGCTTTGATGGGACCCCGACGGGTCTTTAATAAAAATTATCTATCTATCTATCTAAACGTTTGTGTTGAAACAACTAATGTCCATTTACTACGCGTAAGCAGATGCGGTTAAACATGGCAGATGGAGTTTTCATCCTCCAAGTGTAGTTTCAAGTCTTTTGGTCCAGCCAAACTTCCTGGTCCCATAATTTTGCAGAATAACCCACTCTCAGAATGCCTCACCATAAAGGACCTAGGTCTAAGTTATACAACTAAGCTTGCTTTATCCCCTCATGCAGATGGAATCTCTGATAAAGCCGCGCAGATATGTGGATTCGTATTGCATAATTTTTTCCTTCCGGAAATGAAGCTAAGACTTTATCAAGTGTTTGTTCTTCAAGTCCTCGAATACTGCTGACCTTTCTATGGTTTAATAAACGCCGGTGGCCGTTATGAGATAGAAGATGTATAAGAGACAAACCCACTAGTTGGGCACAGCGAGTAGGCTATCCAGGAAACGAAAATAGCAGTATCCCAACAGTTACAAACTAGTAAATAAGAACAAAGTCATCAGCAGGTAAACGTGCACGTGCGTGTTCTTTGTCTTATTCAAAGTTGTGTCAAAGCGTTTTGTAAGTGATTAAAACAAGACAGACTTAAATATCACTACAATACTCCCCCTCCTAGGAGAACGGAGTTCAAAAAAAATTATTGTTAATAGAAGGAAAATGTAGGAGCGTTATTCATATTGTACAAGTTGGTAACGGTCGGGAAAACGGACATGACGACCGCTGCGCGTAATGGGAGGAGTCTGTGGGACAAGGGAAGACGCGGGGTTATTGGGCGTAAATGGAGTCTGGGAAATAGCAAGTGGCAATGTGCCAAGTGGAGGTTGTTCGGTTGGAGAAGTTGGAAGAGGCTCAGTATAAGCCGCCTTCAAGCGATCGATTGAGACCACGTCGGTGCGGCCTCCACGGTCAATTGTAAAGTGCTTGTCCGTGCGCGATAGTACTCGAAATGGGCCGTCATAGGGCTGTTGTAGTGGCCGGCGAACGCTGTCTACGCGGACAAATACAAAAGAACATGTTAGTAAGTTCGGGTCGACGTACGACTTACTTGTTGAAGGACGTGGAGGAGTGGCTCGAAGATGAGTCATGGCTTGGCGCAATCTTTGCACATAATTGCTGGGATCCAAGTCGGTTGGGCTTTGAGAGTACCCGAAAAAATCCCATGGAATCCGTAGGACAGTACCGTAGACAAGTTCGGCATCGGAACACTCCAAGTTGGGTTTGAGTGCGGTACGGATACCGAGCATGACCAAAGGCAGATGCTCGCTCCAATGGGAAGGGTTGTCATGAGCTCGGAGCGAGGCTTTGAGTTGCCGGTGGAAACGCTCGACTTAACCGTTGGATGAGGGGTGGTATGCTGTCGTGCGTATGCGAGAACATCCGAGGAGGTTGGTAAGGCTGTTAAAAAGTCTAGACTCGAATTGTTGACCTCGATCGGTGGTAATTGTTGAGAGGACGCCATAATGAGAGATCCAGTGTTCCAAAAAAACATGAGCAACGGAATCTGCAGTTATGTTAGGTATGGGAGTTGCAGTGGGCCAACGAGTAAATCGGTCAATCGCAGTAAGTAAGTAGTTGCAACCACGAGATGTTGGAAAGGGACCTACCAGATCGATATGGACATGTGAAAAACGTGCGTCGGTTGCGGGAAAAGTGCCAATGGGGGTTTTGTTGTGCCGTCCGACTTTGGCCTTCTGACAGGCCAAACATGAACGGGTTCACTGGCGGATATTAGTGTTCATGCTTGGCCAAACGAACCGCTCGCTGACGAGGCGCTGGGTAGTGCGGATGCCAGGGTGAGCTAGATTGTGCAACGCGGCAAAAACATCTCGTCTCATCTCGCTTGGCACTACGGGTCGGGAGGCACCGCGCGATACGTCACACAAGATTGTACCAGGGGTGGTGGAAAGAGGAATGGCTTCCAGTTGAAGACTAGTGTGTTGAAGGCTGTCACTGAAAGTCGGCCGATTTTGCAGTTCTACCATGCGCTCCAAATCGATGGAAGGGCGGGTGATGGCATTAATGCCAGGCCGAGAAAAACAGTCAGCAACTTGATTATAAAGGCCTTTAAGAAATCGAATGTCGGTGGTATACTGAGAAATAAAACCGAAATGGCGGGCCTCGCGGGGTGAATACTTGTCAGAAGAAGTAGAGAGGGCATAAGTAAGAGGCTTGTGGTCAGTATAAATACAAAAATCTCGGACCTCAATATAATTACGAAAATGCTTAATGGCTAAATAGATTGCAAGAAGTTCTCTTCCAAAAGTGCTATAGCGAGTTTGTGGGGGTGTCAATTTGGCAGAGTAGAAAGCCAAGGGCTAGGTGCCAGTGGGCGTCTGTTGCTGAAGGGCAGCACCTATAGCGAAATTGGAGGCGTCGGCCACAATGGAAAGTGGGGCATCAGGTATAGGGTGAACAAGGACAGTTGTATCCGCAAGAGCCTTCCTCGCACGATTGAAAGCCTCTACAGCTGTGTCAGGAAAAGAAAACTCACGGTTGTTCCCGCGTAAAAGGTTAGTAAGTGAGGGATGAAACGTCGATAGAAATTGACAAGGCCTATAAAACGGCGCAGTTGTTGAAAAGAAGTGGGAGTAGGGAAATCGCGAATAGCTGAAACTTTGGTATCTATGGGATGACAACCAGAAGCATCTACGCGATGTCCTAGGAAAAACAGCGACTGTGCGCCAAAAAAGCATTTAGAAACATTAATGAAAACGCCAAATTGGCTCAATCGTTCAAAAATGAGACGCAAATGTTGTAGGTGCTCGTGTTCACTGGAACTTGCTACCAGAGCATCGTCGACGTAGACAAAAACGAACGGTAGATCGCGGAGGGCTTCGTTGACGAAACGTTGAAAAGTTTGGGCGGAGTTGCGTAGCCCAAAAGGCATCCTGACAAACTCGAACAGACCGAACGGTGTTGTAATCGCCGTTTTGGAAATGTCTTCTGGAGCAACGGGTATCTGATGGAAAGCTTTGACTAAGTCAATGTTGGAAAATATTGTTGCTCCAGCTAGGCTAGATGAAAAGTCGTGGAGATGGGGAAGTGGATACCTGTCAGGCACAGTGGAGGTGTTTAACCGTCGGTAATCCCCGCATGGGCGCCAGTCAACGAGAGACTTTTTGCACACCATATGTAGAGGTGCAGCCCATGGACTAGTGGAAGGCCTAACCATGCCTAGCTCCATCATGTGGCTGAATTCAGCCTTGGCTATGGCTAACTTATCGGCGGCTAAACGACGGGGACGGCTAAACACGGGTGGTCCAGTAGTTGAAATATAATGTACAACAGAATGCTTGATAGGTTGGTTAAATTGTGAAGGTCGTGTGATAGATGGAAATTCCGAAAGTAAACGATGATAGGGAGTAGACGAAGGGATTGTTGGAATGCGTGGATTAGGTGACGAAAGGGTACGAGTGGAACAATTACAATGTAAAGAAGTCTTAGGATCAAATAATTTATGGGACTTATTGTCAACGAGGAGACCGAAAAAGGATATAAAATCAGCGCCGAGAATGGCAGTATGGACTTCAGCGATAGTAAATAGCCAACGAAACGAGCGTCTTAGACCCAAATCTAGTGTTGGAGATCGTTGACCAAAAGTTTTAATAGAAGTATTGTTAGCCGCTTGGAGGAAAAATGAAGAATTTGGTGACTGACGGTCAGTCAAGGTGGGTGGGATTAGACCGATCTCCGCACCAGTATCCACGAGAAAATTACGACAGGAAGTCCTGTCATAGATGTGGAGTAAGCGACTGGGAGAGGATGTGCCGACCACGTTCGTCGCCCTTACCGGTCGGCAGGGGAGTTTTCCGATGCATGTGTTTTATACTTGCACGGAGAGTGGCAGCGATGGGCGTTAGAACCATAATTGTGATGATACCAACAGAAACCATCAACTGTAGGTTTGTTTGGAGTGGGAGATCTCGGGCGGCGAGAAATTGCAGGACTACGAGGGTTATAGACACGAGTGGCCCGGAGCTGGGAAACTTCGAGATTGAGGGCATCCAGGCGTTTGACGACATCCTCGATTGTGGGGGCAGTTGTGCTTCGACTAGCGTCGTTAACCGTAACAGGAGGCTGGTAGTACTCGAGTATACGGTCAGCAGTCTCCGCGAGCATCTGAACAGTCGACGAAGGAATGTTAGGCGCAAGGATGGCTTGCACAGAAGGAGGCAACCGTTGGAGGAAAAGTTGCTTGAACATGGTGGCATCCAGCTTTTGTCCGTCTGCCAACTGCTCCAAACGCCTAAGAAGCTGCGTAGGCTCCCTGTCACCGAGGTCCTCCTCAGAAATTAAACGTTGGAGACGTTTTTGCGTTGAGAGAGAAATGCGGGAAATGAGAGCCTCCTTTAGGGCAGTATAAGGGGCTTCTGTGGGCGGGCAATCTATGATGTCGCGGAGGTCGGTGGCGATGTCCATTGGGAGTGCTGCCACAACATATTGAAATTTGGTATCCTCTCGTGTGATCTGACGGAGTGCGAATCGTGACTCTACAGTGCGCAGCCATAACGCGATGTCACCGAGCCACACGGATGGCAGGTCAAAAGTGTGAATGCCGGCTATCGGCTGGCTGGTAGAATCGCTGGGCATAATTAGCCGGGGTCGGTCAGAGGTCAGATAAATGGGGTAGAGGACTGGCGCGTTGACAGAGAGATTGAAGGGTAGCGCTCGTATTGGATGAAAGGGTGAGACAGTGTGAATATCAAATAAGGGCTAGATGAATAATCCGATCGATAAAAATTAGAGTGAGGATTAATCAGAATGGAAATAGTTATGCACAGAGATTAAACAGAAGGAGCTATGAACGATATAGGGTCACCAGCATAATAGATAAACCCACTAGTTGGGCACAGCGAGTAGGCTATCCAGGAAACGAAAATAGCAGTATCCCAACAGTTACAAACTAGTAAATAAGAACAAAGTCGTCAGCAGGGAAACGTGCACGTGCGTGTTCTTTGTCTTATTCAAAGTTGTGTCAAAGCGTTTTGTAAGTGATTAAAACAAGACAGACTTAAATGTCACTACAGATGTTCAGGGAGTTTTCAACCGGAAATCGTTCTCTCAATCTTCGTCCGGTATTTCTTATACTCAGGGATGTCAGCTGGCGAACATTAAGTTTTTGTGGGTTAGAAGACTCGAAGCTGGCCTTTGCTTCCTTTTTCGCACCAACTCTAGCTCCAGTCTTCCGCTCGTTGGCACTCTCACTCCGAGAGATCGGTCTTGTGCCACGCGCAACTCCTCCATGATGAGTCCGCCGCCGCCTCTTTGCACTACATCTAAGCGCTCCCTCTTCTTTGCTTCCAAATATGCCTTCCTTTGGAATAATCTTCCGCCAGAAATAGGTCATCGCCTAAGTTACTGGGATTTAAGTCGAAATTACGCAAATACCTTACTCCGGGAAGTATAAAGGCACTTTTAACAGTCTTATTCCCGAACACTAAGGTTCTTGACTTCGAGAAGGGTCCTCCTGAGATTTAGTGGTAGGTCAAGTGGTAACCCTCAATTATATCATTAGAAACCCCCGTTTTGAGTTAGTTGCTAAATCTACTGCTATCACTCCTCCCCATAGCGACAATTTTCGCGGTTTTTGATGTCATCTCCCGCATTCCGACCTCATGCGGTCTGTCGACGCTCACAGCGGAACCCTCAGTATTCGCCGTCTACCAGTAGTTGGTCGTACCTCCCTTCCTCACTCGTCGGCTGGGCTCGTAACGTACTGTGGCCGATCGCGTCTGGGTTCCTCTCGTCTGGGCTCTTTGACGCGAATAATAACATTCGGCGTATCAATACTGCCCTAACGATGTCAGTTCTGAATACCGTATACAATACCGCATGCAGGCCAGTCCTGTCTGACCCGCATACGTACCCCTCAAGGATGACATTTATTTCTGCCCTGACGATGTGCGATTATAATCCGTTATTTACCGCCACATACAGGCCAGTGCTGCCCGCATTTTTCTGTCATTATTTTTATTGAGGGTTTTTTTTCTCCTGAAAAATTATTCCAATCATTTTTAAATTTTTGTGTGGAGTTATTTTTCCCCTCTCGCTGGTCATTTTTCTCAACGGACTACTAATTCAGAAACTATGGATTACATTTTGTACAGATTCTGCCTACCTCGTCTAAAATTCCCATGTAAATTTATTTTTACTTGCTTTGCTGGGACTCCGACGGGTCTTTAATAAAAATTATTATTATTATTATTAATCCCACCATGTCATTCCGCCCTTGCTTTCTACCAACAATGATTTCATTACAGTGGAATCAGGCAAAGCAGCAATGTTACGTTCATTCTTTGACAAACATTTCACCATTGAAACTTACCCAATACCTTCGATTCCTCCGTTGTCTGATGCCCCTCCCAGCATCATTAATTGTACTCCTGAGACTACTCAAATACTGATAAACTATCTTACTAACTCGCACCCATTTGGAACTTACAATATCCCAAACTCTCTTATAAAACAGCTAAAAGATCTTTCTCCTCTGCTCAGCAAACTCTTTTCCGTCTTTCTCGTAAATGGCTTCTTTCTTGAATATTAGAAAACTTCTATTATTATCATTATTACTCCAGTATTTAAATCTGACAGTCGTTCTGATGTTCAGAACTAGCGATGTGTCCATAGAACACCTCTCGCCAAAGTCTATTAAAAAGTATCGCCATGAAAATAGCCCACTTTTGTATAGCCAAACAAGTTATTAGTTCTTCCTGGCACGGTTTTTTTACCAGATCGTTCTTGTGAAACAAGTCATCCGTCGTTTCCCAATCTGCTTAATCATCATTTATCTGTCGTCGCCATTTATTCTGATCTTAGTAAAGCCTTTGCTGAAGTGCCATATAAAAGACTCTTGGTTAACTTAGAAGCTCTGGGAATTCGCAGTCCCCTAATAGACTTCATCAAGTCATACCTATCTAATCGTAAACAAAAGGTTTTGGTAGGATCTTCACTTTCCAGTGAAAGCCCTACTGTAAGTGGTATCCTACAAGGTTCCGTTTTAGGTCCTCTTTTGTTCCTGCTTTAAATAAATGATATCTCGTCGGCAGTTAAACATTCTCAATCCTTTATTTATGCCGATGATCTCAAATGTGTATATTCATTTAGTAAATCTACGACCCATCATTGCCTGGAGCAAATCCATGCTGACTTGCTTGCCCTCTCAGCTTGGAGCTCAAAATGGCCAATGGAATTCTCTCCGTCTACATGTCGCTGTATGTGTTTTGGACCTGATAGGCTACCCCATCCAATGGCCTTTCAAGGCACACATATGACTGAATGTACCACCATCAAGCATTTAGGTCTAAGCCACACAAATAATCTTGATCTCTCGCCACACGCCGACAGGATTAGGGCCAAAGCTGCCCAGATTTGTGGCTTCATTTCATACAATTTATATCCGCCTGAAATTAAATAGACTTTATGGTATGTTTGTACTTCGCATTCTCGAATATTGCTGCCCATTCTTTGATTTAATGAACGTGGTTAGTCGTTCAAAAATTGAAAATGTTCAAAGACGTTTTACTAGAAGACTCTTAGTTACGGAACATCTAAATATCTCCTACTCAGGTAGATGCTAGTTAACTAGCCTAAAATTTTTATGGGGTCGAAGACTAGAAGCGGGCCTATGTCTCTCTTTTAGCATTATTAATAGTTCAAATCATCCTCGAATTCCAGCACTTACCCCTAGTAATCGCCCATACAATTTTCGCAATTCTTCATTGATTATACCTCCTTCCGCTTCCTCCACCTCTATGCGTTCTCTTTTTTTCACTTCCGGTTATACTTCCCTCTGGAATAACGTTCCTATAAATATAAGATCTTCAGACAATCTACATACGTTTAAGAGAAGGTTATGCCTTTATCTGAATACTGACTCGATTAAACTCCTTTTTTCCTAATTCTCCCGGACAGCTTTCTTTACGACACTGAGAAAAGGCCACCGGAAATTGAGGATGCCGCCATTAAATTACCGTGTCCTTCTTCTTCTCGTGTGTGTAGTGTCGCTTCCTAGGATCCTTCATCAGAAATATAATATTTTTCGATTTTTCAGTCTATGCATCGTGTCCCCCCCAGAATGCGTTATCCTTCCTGGTAAATTCTCTCAAAGAAATAGCATGGCTAGGTTGGCGTGGACGCTCTAAACCGCATCGGTTTCGCCTATCACAGACACTCGTCAGAATTCCACGCTGACTCCTGCAACTTCGAACCCTCACTCTCCCAAGGTTTAATTTTGCCGTTCTTGAGGTTATCTCCTCATTTAGACCCCAAGCGGTCTATCGACGCTCTTGACCGAACCCTCTGTATAAGCCATCTACTAGTAGTTCGGTCGCATCTCCTTTGCCCCCATTCTCGGCTGAACTCTGAACGGACTGTGACGGATCGCGTCTGGATGCTTCTTGTCCCGCCACGTTGACGTGAATAGCCTCATAGGGCATATGAATACTGCTTTGGCGATGCCTGTCTCGAGCGTCTTACTCAATACCGCATGCGGGCCAGTCCTGTCTGACCCGCATGCTTAACCCTTCATGAAATCCGTTATGCACTGCCACATGGAGGCACCTTTTATCATTTCATGAGCGACAGTTTCCTCCTCCTATAATGTTAATCCAGTCATATTAGTTTTGTTCATTCGGTGGGAGTTTCTTTCACTTCTCGCTCATCATTCTTCTTAACGGACTGTTTATTCAATATCTACGAACTAATTATTGCACAGATTCTGTCTACCTGTTCAAAAATTCATATGAAAAATTCTTCTTACTTGCTATGACCGGACCCCCACGGGTCTTCAATAAAAATTGTTTATTTATTTAAAACTTGCGGTAACTCACCACAGACATGACTACATCACCATCCATTCACATATCAACACATCAACGCCTCCAACATCCTACATTCCCAGCACATCCCATGTGTTGGGAAGTATGCTTTCGAGTCCTTTCTCCACGTTGCTATTCTGTTGAATGAGAGATCCGAGTGGCCTAACCCCTCGTGTGTGAAATCCTTGTGTGTGCGTAGTGGGGGCCAGTTATTATGCGTTGCGCGCAGGCAAGCTGTGCTCAGCTCTGTCAGCAACCTCACCAAATCTCGGCACCGTTTGATTGACCTGCTAGGGAAGTCGACTAGTGCATGTGATGAGATAGAATCAGTGACGCCAACTCTCGGCACGTAATTCCCTTTTATAAACAACCTGACTTGCTCGAGACTCACGGTTCGCTAGAGAATGTGGTTTGTAATGCCGTCAACTGGCTCTTAAACTAACAAAACCCAGTGAGATCAGTGGTGTGTTTGTGTGTCAAGTGGTTGACTGGTGGACTGAGAAGCAGGTTGCAAGTTACCCTTCTTAATGGGACTTTAAGGGCACTCCGACTCAGTGGGATCCGAGCCGGTGTAGTGGCATGCGTGAAGTGACGAGTTTTCGTCGTGTGAGCAACAAGCGCTTTCTACTTCCTCTGGTCTCCTTAAATCTGACATGAGACCAGAGTTATGGGGAGGAGAAGGGAGCGTGGCAGATGATGCGCAAGTGTAACATCACTGAGAAAGAGATCGTGTGCCTGTCACCGTCTCTGCTCTCACCCTGCCGTGGATCAGAC